ATATCAGTGCTTACTTTCATACTGGAATACTGTACATGTAATTAAAGATACCATGTGCAGCACATTCCTTACCTGTGTAAACAACATATTAGTGATAAATACAAATATGAAATGTCCCTCTTCACCACACCAGGGTCTAACCATGAAGCAGCTCCTTAAACCATCAGCTGCTCTTCAACCAAAGTTATATTTAATGATATATTCTTAAATTCATTTCCCAGGCTCTTTTAAATATGACTTTTCCTCATTAATCACTGTATCATTAAAGAAATCCCAATCCGCTGCTTCACAACAGTTTGACCAACAATGACTCTTCCATTTTGTCCCGGCGGCCATTTTGACGAACCAGCGACAAAACTAAATAAAGTGAATGTGGCTGAGTGGTTAACATTGTGGCTTCTCAGCAAGAAGGAACGGGGCCTTTCTGAGTGGAGTTTGCATGTTCTCCCTGTGTCTGCATAGGTTTCCTCCAGGTGCTCCGGTTTCTCCTACTACTAAAAGGACATAGACCAGAGGCTTTGTGACTCTGGTCTATGTCAATGTCAGATTTATTTGTATTGCACATTTACAACAACAGCAGCTTCAGGTACGAAAGATAAACATGAAAGAAAAGAGCATAAAAACATGTGAAACTTCCATCTGGTACAAGTATTTAATTAATTTTATTATCTTACTTTTATCCTTTTTATTTATTTATATATTTTTTTCTCTCTTTTTAATTTTTTTAGATTTTATTCAAATCTTTATATATTTTAAATTTAATTTAATTCTATTTTATTATCGTTATTTATACATTTTTATTTTATTTCTCCCTCTTTTTTTATTGTTGTAATAAATGTATTTTGTGTTAAATGTCATGTGCTGTCTCTCCTCTCGGGGATTCTGTGGCAGGGTGTAAAATGTATTCTTAAAATGCAAAAAAATATATAATAAAAATAACAATTATAAAAGAAGATGTGTCAACAATAAAGTACATCAAACCTTACATGAGAAACACAAAAATAAACTGGTTTGAAATGTGAAAAAAAAATTCCAAAGAAGGAGCAGCGAAAGGCGCTTTATAAATAACTATTCCTCACATATTTACCCTTGAATACTGATTAAAAGCAGCAGATCCAGAGGTAGGAGAGAGAGATGATGGCCTGCATGAGACCACTTTGGCTCAGGACACAGAGTGATGATGGATGAGGCTCTCACTTGGCACGGCTCGGCCCGATCACTACAGTCTAAGGTTCCCTGCACCGCGCCATGTTGGTTAACGATTGGTGCTCAGGTCCTGAAGGAGCTACGGCGGCTCCTGAAGGTCACGGCGCTCTCTCTGGATCTGAAGCAGTGAGTAATAATGACGACACGTTTGTTCAAGGCACATTCTAGGAAACAAAACTCTCTGCTCTGATTGGACGACATGGATCTATAACACAGGGGTCAAAGTCAAGGCCCGGGGGCCAGATCTGGCCCGCGAGACCATTTCAATGACTATATTAAATAGCAGCCTCGATAGTAATAGGTGACAATGGAATGTTATCCATTACTAATTTTCTCAAGGAAACAACCAAACATTTAATTCCATAAGAAATGTTAAGCCAACATGTAATTAGTATTGTTATGTTTTTTTTTACGAGTCTTCAATTACATTTCTTCTCAAAGGTATGAAGGAGTATTTCCCCGATTTTCTTAGGAAAGAACCGCTCTCCCCACTTTTTGAACAAATCTCTCTGGTCTTATTTGACGAGCACAAATCACCAGAATGATTGACAGTTGGGAGGACCAATACATAGATACGATCACGTGACTAACATCCGGGCACGGCGCGAAGTGTCCGCCATATTGGATGGGTATTCGTCACATGTTTACATTGCTCTGCTCCAGTTACTTCGTGCTATTTCAATTGTTATGGCGACTAAAACTTTGGCAGCTTACAGGCTATCGTTAGATCAGGTATCAAGATTACGATACGATGGAAAATGTCAACTGATTGGCCAACAAGACCCGTATGTGCTGGATAAAAACCTTTGGACAAGCGACATAAATTCGTGGGCGTGTGTCACGTATCCAGATATTGTAAACTTTCTGATAAATTCCACGAGTGCTTATTCACTGGATCAGTTGAAGTCATACAAGGGTCTCGAGGCTTACAACCAATTCACACACACTCATACACTCACACACACAGACAAACACACTCCCCCCTCAAGCTCCCTTGACACACACCGCATACACACACTCACAGCACAAGCAAGATCCACTCTATATCAGCCTGTTTTCACCAATCTGTGTTTATGCCACAAACTTGGCCTCTGTTATAATCAATGTTAGTGGGCTTCTAAGTTCCAGTATTCATCAACGTCACTGTAAAGCGCATGCATACTCTTTGTGATGAGGAATGAGGCAAATAGTAAAGTATCAACAATCCCCGTAAATTGTTAATTCACACCTTTACGAAAAGTAGTCACGCGCAATTGTTTACAACTTCTTTCACAATTGCAGAAACGTGCGCGCAAGAAACACACAGACGCACACCTTGTCATTTTTGCCAAATGCGCCCATGCCACGGACAGTACCAGTTCTAAAGACATGTTAAAGCAAAACTGTAATAGAAACTTTACCCTCGGAGCGAAATAGCCGTTTTCCCCCCGTCTGCTTCACTTTGCACCCGGCGCTCACACAGAGGACGCACGGTCTCCGCCATCTTCATCGCTCAGCCATATGCGTGTAGCTCACACACACACGCAGACACACACTCCTCTTCCTCTCTTTAGCCGCTCTCATTTGCTCAAACCATGTCCGTCCCAGACAGTACCACTGAGCGGCGGCCGCTCCGATGATAAATAACCCATCCAATATGGCCGACGAAAAACATACAGGTGCTTCGTGACGTCACAGGAAAACTATGTCTTGATGATCCAGCCGAAAATCGTCCCTCACCCTTACAGTATACCTTCAATATTTGGTCCAGTTTTGGTTCAGTCCACAATAACTGAACTCAGTCGATCAGAAAAGAATATCCAATTTAACTAATGTGAAACAAGTCATTTATATACTAGATACCTTCATATTATTAAAAAAGTATAATAAATGAAACCCACTTCGTCTTTCGGCCCCTGATCAGCCCTTTAATTTTTTTTCGGCCCTCAACCAAAATGAGTTTGACACCCCTGATCTATAATAATAACTGGATAGGGCTTTACAGCTTATAGCTGTCCCACCAAAGGCCAAAATTCACGTTACCCAGAAAAATGTCCATAGAACTCAATGTAAACTAAAACAGCTCGACCTCAGCTGACAGAGAACCTGACAGAGAACCTGACAGAGAACCTGACAGAGAACCTGACAGAGAACCTACAGCTTCCATAAATCGGATTTTGTGGGTATTTTAGTGTCCCTTGTCGTCCTGAACTTTTCTTCTTAAATCCTTCGGTTTTCTTTAAATCCAAACTTTACTGTCACAAACTCTGCTCCTTTCCTTCTCGCTCTGATCAGCAGTGTTCTGATTGGTCAGAACGCTGCCCTCTGATTGGTCAGAGCGAGCCCCTCTGTGCATGTGCATGACACGCGTATTTGGTGCAAAGCATCATGGGAGCTCGTCCTCTGTGCAGAACCGGGAGGACCAGACAATGCCCAAATACAGGCGAGTTCTGCTAATCTCCCGGTCTCCATGAAGTCCCATGAACTACTGAGCACAAGCCACTCATTTGAACAGGGCGCCATCTTGGATCTTGTCGGACGAGCACGTATCAGCAGAATGATTGACAGTTAGGAGGACCTTACTGATCCATCCGAAAGTGGAAAATCCTCATATCTACCTTTCAGATTAAGATCCTGTGTCTGTAAAAATTCATATGTATTTTGTGATAATCCACGATTGCCACGCCCATATTGTATCATAATATGCAAATTAGATGGGTACGTTTCATTTCTACTTAAACTTTAGGCCGTCCTTATAATTTCTCTAATTTTCACAATCTTTTTTCACTTTTAAGTATTTAAGAAAGCCTAAAGGGTTAACTGGGCGACAGTAGCTCAGTTGGTAGAGCATTGGTCTTAAGGCCAGAAGGTTGTGGGTTCAATTCCCACCTCTGCACCTTCTCCATCAACTCCCACTGATGACTTCTGTCGTTGTGTCCTTGGGCAAGACACTTAACCCCACTTTGCCCAAAGCCCCCACTGAAAGATCAAGGCTATGCTCACAGTCAGAGAGCAGCCGTCCTCCTGTGGACTCACCACCTGCAGAGGGTCAGTGAGGGGCTGGTGCTATGAGACTTGGGTGGCATCTCTGACTGCCACCCCCCTGACCCAGAAATGGATTAAAGGGTAGAAAATGGATGGATGGATGGATAAAGGGTTAACCATCTCTCTCCTCCTGTGATATTACCGCTCTGCTCTTTTTCAGCTAAAACATTATTCTTCCTCTTGAAAAGTCTAAACTATGCAATTATCTCTGTGTATTGCACGTATTCCGCTGGAGGGAAAAAGAACATTATACTTTTCTGGTGCCGTGTCCACATGGTTCATGCCTGAGCCTCTGACATGGATCTCCTGCTGTTCCAACACGACCCAGTCTATTTCAAATCTGATAATTGTCCATATCTGGATCTTTTCGGTTTCTTTTCTTGCGCGGAGCAGAAAGAAAAGCATACATTCATTAGTGAGATGGAGCCGCCGTGGCAGTGGTCTCTGTAGATTAATTAGAGCATTTCCACCTTCAGAAAAACACCTAACTTTGTTCTTTGAATGCGCCTTTTTAATTAGTCCACACGTTCTCTGCTCTGAGCTAATTCTGGACGCTGTGTTGTTATCTGTGACATAACTAAGTGCTACAGAAGAAACCACAGCTATTGTAATATTTGGGTGTCACTGAAGGTGCTACAGACACGAAACCTTCTCTTGAAAATAAGTCACTTTTTAAACATTTGTGGTTTTATCCTTAATTAAAAAAGAACTTTTATCCCAAAATATTGCTTTAGAAAATGTTAAAAGTCAAACTCCAAGTCGTAGCACAATCACAAAGTTTCATGTTTGGACCCAGAACCACTTTTGAACCAATTCTGGACCACTTTTGGACCAAGAACCACTTTTGGACCAAGAACCACTTTTGGACCAAGAACCACAAGAGCCACTTTTGGACCAAGAACCACTTTTGGACCAAGAGCCACTTTTGGACCAAGAGCCACTTTTGGACCAAGAACCACTTTTGGACCAAGAACCACTTTTGGACCAAGAACCACAAGAGCCACTTTTGGACCAAGAGCCATTTTTGGATCAAGAGCCACTTTTGGACCAAGAGCCACAAGAGCCACTTTTGCACCAAGAACCACTTTTGGACCAAGAACCACAAGAGCCACTTTTGGACCAAGAGCCACTTTTGGACCAAGAACCACTTTTGGACCAAGAACCACAAGAGCCACTTTTGGACCAAGAACCACTTTTGGACCAAGAACCACAAGAGCCACTTTTGGACCAAGAGCCACTTTTGGACCAAGAACCACTTTTGGACCAAGAACCACAAGAGCCACTTTTGGATCAAGAGCCACTTTTGGATCAAGAGCCACTTTTGGACCAAGAGCCACAAGAGCCACTTTTGGACCAAGAGCCACTTTTGGACCAAGAGCCACTTTTGGACCAAGAACCACAAGAGCCACTTTTGGATCAAGAGCCACTTTTGGACCAAGAACCACAAGAGCCACTTTTGGATCAAGAGCCACTTTTGGACCAAGAGCCACAAGAGCCACTTTTGGACCAAGAGCCACTTTTGGACCAAGAGCCACTTTTGGACTAATAACCACAAGAGCCACTTTTGGACCAAGAGCCACTTTTGGACCAAGAACCACAAGAGCCACTTTTGGATCAAGAGCCACTTTTGGATCAAGAGCCACTTTTGGACCAAGAGCCACAAGAGCCACTTTTGGACCAAGAGCCACTTTTGGACCAAGAGCCACTTTTGGATCAAGAAGCACTTTGGACCAACAGCCACTTTTGGACCAAGAGCCACTTTTGGACCTAGAACCACAAGAACCACTTTTGGAGAAAGACAGATAAAATATACATACAAAATCATTGGGTAATTCTCTTTCCGGGTACACCCCCACTGTACCCCCATCATGGAGCTTTTGTAGCCAGGAACAGTTCCATAGGAGGATCTTTTTTTACATCCACATGTGCCCCTCGCTGTGAGGCCAAAAGACAAAGCGGCACAAACTGAAGCATGGATACAGTACTTTTAAAAGCACTTTAACAATAGCACTGTATATAAGCACTTTAACAATAGCACTGTATATAAGCACTTTAACAATAGCACTGTATATAAGCACTTTAACAATAGCACTGTATATAAGCACTTTAACAATAGCACTGTATATAAGCACTTTAACAATAGCACTGTATATAAGCACTTTAACACAAGAAGATTAGAGGAGGTATAAATACAAGCTTGACATAAGTATATGAGACCGAACCGAACCAATCCAAAGGCCAGACCTGGAGGACCACAGACATGGGTCAGACTCACCTCTGTTTTGGCACTAATCTGCTTCAAGACATTTATTCTTGCTTCACAGAAAACCTGGGACCCTTCACACAAGAAGTGAAAATCAATTCCTCGCATATTTCACCGCGGTAAAGTGGCCCGGCTTTTTGCCGTCACGGTAAAGTGGTCCGCACATTAAAAGTAGGTAGTCTCTTTTTGCTGTTAATTACCGTAAACGTGGAACAGGAGTCGCTGAAATGAGCAACCAACCAACCATGTTTAAAATTCATCATCACAGTGACCAAGTGAAAGGGAAGTAGTTAGTTTGTGATTTTTTATGCCCTCATCCCCCGGCTTCCCTTTCTACGTTTACCGTCGGTAACAGCATAAAAGGGGAACCCGCTTTTAATGTGCGGACCACTTTACCACGGCTGTTTTTTGCTGTTCTTTTCCAAGGAATTTGAATCGTACAACCGACCACACAACAAGAACGGACCATTTGATCCAAACGTCTAAAACTAACTCTTTATAGCATCAGGGTAGCTTTCTACGCTGTTTTGCCGCACAGTCACGTGACCGACGCGGAAAAACTATAAACAACAACGTCACTCCAAGATCCTCCCGTAGACACAGACAATAACTGTGTTTCTGCTTCAGGACCATCGAGGCTAAACAGCCGCTGTATAATTCTCTAAATCCAAATAAACACATACATGAATAAAACATGGGTCTGGACCAGCCGCGGCGCCAGGGGTAGGCCTGGGTAGGCCGGTGCCTACCAGTTTTTTTCTTGGCCTACTCAAATTTGTTCTTCGCCTCTCAAGTCATTAGCCTTTTTTATTAAAAGTCATAATTTAAATATTGTTATTTTTAAACACAAATTATTGCTAATGCCTAAATGTTGCGTTCTAATGTTTTAAGAAAATATAACCCCCTGAGCGTCATCACGTTCCTACGTTGCTTCAAACATAGTCCTGTTTATTGGCTGAACAATTTTGTCCAATATCATATCACACAGCGTGAAGCTCGTTCCCGAGAACAACCATTCCTCGTCTTAAAGATTGACAACGCTCTCAAAGCATTCACAACAGAGCAGCCTTTTTCATTTTAATTTTAAGAAAGTTCAGCGTGAACTTTGTGAGGTAGAGGAGCCAGAGGCCCGGGCCCGTAGGTCCCAGAGGAGGAGGGTCAGGCCAGGCTCGCACTGATGAGGTAAACTCTAGGCCTGTGTGAGACTCACTGTGGGCCTCACTGTGGGCCTCACTGTGGGCCTCACTGTGGGCCTCATGTATGAAACCTGCGTACGGCCAAATCAGGGTAAATGAGGCGTACGCAAAATATTACACTTTTCTGCATTTATTTATCTGGACGTGAGCGTACAATACGCCAAAAATAAACGCCAGGTCTGGAGGTGGTGTAAATCTATACGCTGAACTCAACCTTCGGCACAACACGCCAAAACACGCATGAAATTCAAGATATGGACAACAATAAACATATTCCCTCTGGAAACATTATATGCTGTGTTTTCATTGAGGATCATGTTTCAAAATTTGAATTTGCGCATCAGAAAAAGTCTAATGGAAACACGCAAACTTCGAATAAATCACAGCTCATGATGAGGACCCTCTATTAAATCTGACTTGTGTGTGTATTATTTTGATCTGTATGTTTTTAAAATGTGAAGCGCTTTGTGATCCTGGACAGTGAAAGGCTCTATATAAATACACATACGCAACAGGGATGTGTGACCTATTGCTGTGACAGGCTCTGCGCTGCGTAAACACGGCTATTTGTATTCCTCATTCACATCTAAAGCACCTCACATCTGGTAAAGCAATGTGTTATTTCATTAGATTTGTGTAAGCCTCACACAGACACACACCCCAATAACGCATCGATGGTATTGCTCACTCACAAATGTCTCACTGCCCTGTCCAGAGTGCGCAGCGAGTGCCGTGAGAGGTCGGCCACATGTGTAGAAGTTTTGGCTCCAGAGTTTCTTTGTGAAATCTGGACCGCAAACGCTCTCTGAAGTGTACAGCGCCTCATGCGCACTTCTACCCCGAGCCAGGCTGCGTCCAAGACGCTGCAGACGCTTCATTCAGAGCCACCGCTGCATGATATATATGAATTATTCATTCATTCAATCAATCTATATTTATTCACTTCTACAATTCAAGAAGGATTTTTCTAATGTATCAAAACATTTTAGCAAATTTGTTCAAAACGCAGCTGAATATATAGCGCATATTTATTATTACATAAACATGAACAAACAAACGTGCCTTTTGAGGCTTCCAAACGGTCTTTTCGGCCGGCTTCCTGCTGACCTGTCACGAAGACGTGGCGTGAAACACGCGATTGCTGCATAATTCTAGGCGTGACTAAATACGTTCGTATTCAGCCGATTCATCAACACCCGCAGCTGCGTACGCTCAGATCTAGGCGGATCTCACACGTTCATAAATCCGACGTTGGATTTTGCGTAAATGGAATATACACCCAAAATGTACACCTTTTTCTACGCAAGTTTCATAAATGAGCTTGTGTGTATGTGCGCGCGTGAGTGCGTGTGCGTGCGTGTGTGCGTTTGAACCATATTCTTTGAAACCCCAATTCCAGTTAGCCCTTGTAGTTTGCAAGCGAATTTGGCCTACTTACTAATCTGCAGGCCTACCCAAAATTGCAAACCTGGCGCCGCTACTGGTCTGGACAAAGGTAAAATAAAGTTAAAAACCGTTCGAGTCGAGCACACGGCACAAAGAGCTAAAACGATACAAAAGAAGTGACGTCTGCAAAGAAAATGATTCTCAAACATTTAAACTAAAACCCTCGATTTCATTTGTTCTTTTTGAAAACCTCAGAAAGAACAAATATTCTCAGTGAACAAAGCCTGGAGTCGGGAACTGCTAAATGTCTTGGTTTTAAACTCAAATTAAACATAGTATTTTTACACGGCGCCTTTAGGTCCACATCGTGTTTAATCCTCAAACCGCATTAAAGAAATATTTAAATAAAACACTTCAGACTCTTTAAAGACACATCCACTTGCTTTGAAAGAAACACAAACTGGGAAAATCTCCTCTGTGTGTAACCCATGAGTATAAAACATACTCCACAGTGGGAAAATACAATAATAAGTAAAAAGGTACAATTTTATAGAGCTACTTTTATACCCAATGACAGATTAGGGCCCTTTAATGACGACAGATTAGGGCCCTTTAATGATGACAGATTAGGACCCTTTAATGATGACAGATTAGGGCCCTTTAATGATGACAGATTAGGACCCTTTAATGATGACAGATTAGGGCCCTTTAATGATGACAGATTAGGGCCCTTTAATGATGACAGATTAGGGCCCTTTAATGATGACAGATTAGGGCCCTTTAATGATGACAGATTAGGGCTCTTTAATGATGACAGATTAGGACCCTTTAATGATGACAGATTAGGGCCCTTTAATGATGACAGATTAGGGCCCTTTAATGATGACAGATTAGGACCCTTTAATGATGACAGATTAGGGCCCTTTAATGATGACAGATTAGGACCCTTTAATGATGACGGATTAGGGCCCTTTAATGATGACAGATTAGGGCCCTTTAATGATGACAGATTAGGGCCCTTTAATGATGACAGATTAGGCCCTTTAACAATGACTGAACACAAGTAAATATACAATAATACTGTATAACCTTATATATTTATACAGCCACAAAGCCACAATCAGCCGCTTCACTTCAGGTAAATCATACGCTCAGTGACATCTCTGTCCAGCTAGCATAATGCTCCAGCTAGCATAGTGCTCCAGCTAGCATAGTGCTCCAGCTAGCATAATGCTCCAGCTAGCATAGTGCTCCAGCTAGCATAGTGCTCCAGCTAGCATAATGCTCCAGCTAGCATAGTGCTCCAGCTAGCATAATGCTCCAGCTAGCATAGTGCTCCAGCTAGCATAATGCTCCTAGCATAATGCTCCAGACAGATTTCCCGATGAGAAAATGGCGTGCCTTGGATTGGCTTTGGTGCTGATGAAAAGAAACGTCTTCTATATTTAGCCGCAGAGTTTACGGCATCTTTTGTTGTCGGTTGATTTTTCTGTTTCTGTTTTATCCTGGAGTGAGTTAGAATCAGTCGGAGATATCTCGGCAGCAGAGGTACTATGTACTGACTATATTAGATAATATTATTATTATGTAAATATCGGCGCTGGCAGGAGATAGAAACATCTGAGTTACATTCCAGAGAAAGGTGATGGTTTATTAATGGAGAAACTACCTCTCTCGCTCTCACTCTGACAGGTTTATTTTGTTTACTTTTTTCCAAGGATTTTTTTATTTATTTTTTTATATCATATGTTTATTTGATAGGGACAGAGAAAAGAGCATTGTTACAGGAATCCAATGCCGTAATTATAGGCCGTACAGCTAACAGCTAACTGCTAACTGCTAATATGCAAAAGTGCTAACCACCTAGCCACCGTGCTGCTGTAACGGCGTTTGCACTCCCTCAGCTGTTTATGATGTAATGCAAACCTGCGGACGCCGAAGCAAACCAAGATGGCGGACCGTGAATTGCTTTAAAAGTTAATATACATTTTACAAAAAAATACAAAAAACGAATTAAGACACAAATGTTACTTTTAATGGAATTTGAGGCGAGAGGTTGATGGTTCCGTGTTGTCATGTGTGGGTTTTAAAGAGTCAAAGTTTTGTGTAAAGTTTAGTTTAAGCAGTCCACTGCGTCTGTGAAACCACAAAGCTAATGCTATGATAGCAGTGATAGCGGCCGATGACGCGTCCTGTCGGGCTGATATTCATGATCATCAGTATCAACTGTACTTACCTACATTTAGAACGACTTTAAAATCAATGTGTATCTCCGTGTGTGGAGTCACTCTGTGGAACAGTCTCTCTGATGACATTAAAACTTGTTCAAACCTGATTCAATTTAAAAGAGTGTCTAAAAAAGAAATAATGAAGAAGTACAAGGAGGACAGAGAGTGATGCCCTCAGCACTGAGCAGCTGGAGGAGAGAGGTGTATGGTCGGGGAGTGTTTGGGCCTGTGTGTGTGTGTGTGAGTGCATGTGTGTGTGCGCGTGTGCGTGTGCGTGTGAGTGCATGTGTGTGTGCGCGTGTGTGTGTGCGTGTGAGTGCATGTGTGTGTGCGCGTGTGCGTGTGCGTGTGAGTGCATGTGTGTGTGCGCGTGTGCGTGTGCGTGTGAGTGCATGTGTGTGTGTGAGTGCATGTGTGTGTGCGCGTGTGCGTGTGCGTGTGAGTGCATGTGTGTGTGCGCGTGTGCGTGTGCGTGTGAGTGCATGTGTGTGTGCGCGTGTGTGTGTGCGTGTGAGTGCATGTGTGTGTGCGCGTGTGCGTGTGCGTGTGAGTGCATGTGTGTGTGCGCGTGTGTGTGTGCGTGTGAGTGCATGTGTGTGTGCGCGTGTGCGTGTGCGTGTGAGTGCATGTGTGTGTGCGCGTGTGTGTGTGCGTGTGAGTGCATGTGTGTGTGCGCGTGTGCGTGTGAGTGCATGTGTGTGTGCGCGTGTGCGTGTGCGTGCATGTGTGTGTGCGCGTGTGCGTGCGAGTGCGTGTGTGCGTGTGTCCGTGTGTGCGTGTGCGCGTGTGTGTGTGTG